ATCAAAAATTAGCTGGTAGCACGCGCCTATAGTTCCGTCTACTTGGAAAACTGAGGTGAAAGGATCGCCAGAGCCCAGCAGGCCAAGGCTGTGGTGGCCTGGAGCAAGCCACTGCACTCCAGTCTGGGCGACAGGGTGAGACTCCAACTCAAAAAAAAATAAAAAATAATTTAAAAAAAGGAAAATAACAAGTGTTGGTAAAGACATGGTGAAAGTGAGACACCTGTTCCTTGGTGAGAACGTGAAATGGTGTGGCCACCTTGAAACACAATAGATGGTCCTCAAAAAATTAAACACTGGCTGGGAGCAGTGGCTCATGCCTGTAATCGCAGCACTTTGAGAGGCCGAGGTGGCAGGATAGCTTGAGCCCAGGGGTTCAAGATCAACTTGGGGAACATAGTGACACTCTATCTCTATAAAAATAAAAAATAAACATAATTTCCACATCATCCAGCAATTCCACTCCCAGTCATATACCCAAGTAAAACGAAAACAGGTGTCGGAACAAATACTTGGACATGAATGTTCACAGCGGCACTATTCACAGTAGCTAGAAGGTGGAAACAGCCCAAATATCCACTAACAGAGAGATGGATAAACAAAATGTGCTCTATCCATGCCACAGAATATTACTTTAAAAAAAAATGAATGAAGTGCATGCTATAACACGGACGAACCTTGGAAACATCATGCAACGTGAAATAAGCTGACACAGGAGGCCAGAGTTTGTGATTCCATTTATATGAGCTGTACGGAAGAGGGTAATCCAGAGACAGGACGCAGATTAGTGTTGCCTGGAGGGGTGGGGGGAGTGATTGTTTCATAGGATGATGGGGGTTTTTTGGAGCTTGACAGAGGTGGTGACTACTCATTCAGAATGTATTAAATGCCACTGATTATTCATTTTAAAATGATTGACCTTAGGCTATGTGAATTTCACCTCAATTACAAAACCCAAATACTCAAGCTGCTTCAACCAGTGCAATCCCGAGTGACCCGCACTGCCCATGAGGATGGACTTGGAACCAGACGCAGCTGTCCAGGTGCCCCGGACCCTGCCGCTGCTCCCCATCCTGGGATCTCCTTCAGGAAGACACACTCTTTTGCCTTCGATCTACTCTGCCCTGCTCGAGCCCATCCCACCTAGCTGACTCCTCTCACATTCTCTCCTTGGTGAAGCATTTTAAGAGGAAGTTACATGGGAGAAAGACACATTTAATAAAACATAAATAGATTTGTCTAGGTCGCCATAGGCTAAGAAAGAGGAAACTGACAGGGATGTCCCGTCGGACTCTTGCTGCCGGGCAGGGACGGAGCAGCACCGCCACGCGATTTCAGATCATGTGTGTGGTGGGTGCTTAGGAAAGCAAAGAAGGGGGGGTGGTAGGCTGACAGCCCGTCACATCCTGGCCTCACTTTCAGTGCCGCTCCTGGGCTGCCAGGAAGTTCAGCAAGTCGATGGCGGTGACGACCCCAAACACCATCTGCCGCTGGGTGGACTTCCCATGGCTGTGGTCTGAGGAGGAGAGAACAGGCAGCATTTACAGGCACCCTGGGAGGCTCCCGGGCAGGAGGCTCCAAGGGTCACCAGTACCCATGCACTGGGGCCAGGGCCACACCGGAGGTGAGCCCTTGCAATAAAGCCATGTGGGTAGAGCTGGTCGGGACAGCAGGCCTAGGCTAGGCCTCATGCAACACATGTCAGAGGTGCCCTTCCCTGGCCTGCCAGCTGGATGCCAAGGCTTCCATGACTCCACAGCCAGTGTGGGTGTGAAAGTCAAGCCCCTTCCAACCACTGGCAGCACACAGCTCCTGCCCTGGCCTAGTTGTGTCTTCACATCCACTCCTGGCAACTCAGTGTACACTCAGTGTGACCCGGCCCAGGCAACAAAAATGGCTACTATGATACATCAGGGGGACAGATGCAATGGCTCATGCCTGTGATTCCAGGCTGAGGTAGGAGAATTGCTTGAGCCCAGGAGTTTGAGACCAACCTAGGCAACATAGTGAGATCTCATTTCTTTTTTTTGAATTGGAGTCTCACTCTGTCACCCAAACTAGAGTGCAGTGGCACACTCCTGGCTACCACAGCCTCAACCTGCTGGGCTCTGGCGATCCTTCCACCTCAACCTTCCAAATAGCTGGAACTACAGGGCATGTGCTACCATGCCTGGTTAATTTTTTTGATTTACTGTAGAGACAAGGTCTTGCCAAGTTGCCTGGGTGGGTCTCGAATCTGCGGGCTCAGACAATCCACTCGCCTCAGCCTCCCAAAGTGCTGGGATTTCAGGCTGAGCCACTGAGCCCGGCCTGTGAGATCTCATTTCTACAAAAAGTTAGCTGGGTGTGGTGGCACATGCCTGTAATCCTAGCTACTCGGGAGGCTGATGCAGGAAGATCACCTGAGCCCAGTTTGAAGCTGCAGTGAGCTGTGATAGTAGCACTGAATTCTAGCCTCGGCAACAGAGTGAGACCCCAACTCAAAAAAAAGTAATATGCCAGGCTCGGTGGCTCAGCCTGTAACCCCACGCCTTTGGGAGGCTGAGGTGAATGGATTGCCTGAGCCCGCGGGTTTGAGACCTGCCTGGGCAGCGAGACCTCGTCTCTACAATAAATCAAAAAATCAGCTGGGTGTGGTAGCGCATGCCTGTAATTCCGGCTACTCGGAAGGCTGAGGCGGAAGGATCGCCGGAGCCCAGCGGGTCGAGGCTGCAGTGGCCGGGAGCGGCCGCTGCACTCCAGTCTGGGTGACAGAGTGAGACTCCAACTCAAAAAAAGCCCCCATAAAACCTGGTTTTTCTTTCTTTTAAATGAGATACACACACATGCATACCCTATAAAGATACAACTTAGTATACTTTTACAAACTCAACCCATCCCACCTATATGACAGCACTCAGATCAAGAAACAGGACTCTTTGGGAGGCTAAGGCAGGAGGATCGCTTGAACCCAGGAGTTTGAAGCTGCAGTGAGCTGTGATCATGCCACTGCACTCCAGCCTGGGTGACAGAGTGAGACCCCAACTCAAAAAAAAGTAATATGCCAGGCTCGGTGGCTCAGCCTGTAACCCCACGCCTTTGGGAGGCTGAGGTGAATGGATTGCCTGAGCCCGCGGGTTTGAGACCTGCCTGGGCAGCGAGACCTCGTCTCTACAATAAATCAAAAAATCAGCTGGGTGTGGTAGCGCATGCCTGTAATTCCGGCTACTCGGAAGGCTGAGGCGGAAGGATCGCCGGAGCCCAGCGGGTCGAGGCTGCAGTGGCCGGGAGCGGCCGCTGCACTCCAGTCTGGGTGACAGAGTGAGACTCCAACTCAAAAAAAGCCCCCATAAAACCTGGTTTTTCTTTCTTTTAAATGAGATACACACACATGCATACCCTATAAAGATACAACTTAGTATACTTTTACAAACTCAACCCATCCCACCTATATGACAGCACTCAGATCAAGAAACAGGACTCTTTGGGAGGCTAAGGCAGGAGGATCGCTTGAACCCAGGAGTTTGAAGCTGCAGTGAGCTGTGATCATGCCACTGCACTCCAGCCTGGGTGACAGAGTGAGACCCCAACTCAAAAAAAAGTAATATGCCAGGCTCGGTGGCTCAGCCTGTAACCCCACGCCTTTGGGAGGCTGAGGTGAATGGATTGCCTGAGCCCGCGGGTTTGAGACCTGCCTGGGCAGCGAGACCTCGTCTCTACAATAAATCAAAAAATCAGCTGGGTGTGGTAGCGCATGCCTGTAATTCCGGCTACTCGGAAGGCTGAGGCGGAAGGATCGCCGGAGCCCAGCGGGTCGAGGCTGCAGTGGCCGGGAGCGGCCGCTGCACTCCAGTCTGGGTGACAGAGTGAGACTCCAACTCAAAAAAAAAAAGTAATACATTCGCTCAACAGGACCTCGGGTGTCTAGACACTTGGCCAGCTGTTTTTCTGGGGCCATCCCTTGGTGGGTGGGCTGCACTCAACAGGTTGAAGACACAATAAAATAAAAATGCTGACTGTCCTGAGTAAAGAAATTGTTCTAACATTTGGACCTGAACTGAAACGCCAACTCTTTAGCGACTCACCATGAAGATCCTAGGCCTTTTCCATCTCGATCAAATGAACCAATTCTTTGCAATAGGTCTATTTTCTCTACACACACAAACATCCTACTGGTCCTGGTTCTAATACAGTACCACAATATCACCGTCACCACTGCCATCATAATACCCTAATACAGTGTCACAAGGCATACAGAGGGCCCGGCAGGAGTAACATCGAGGTCAGCCCCTTGGATCCTGTGTCACTCCTGACTTTGTGGGCAGAGGTTCCTGGGGTGGGAGGAGAAAGGGCGGGGTCAGGCACTTTGCTGGACCACATGGAGTCTCAGGAAAAATATGGGAAACCAGGAAAGATCAGCTCCTGTGTTTTGGAGACACAGGCAGTGGGGCAGCCTTGGAGATGCTTATCTGTGACTGCTGAGCCCTGTGGGCCCCTGTGTGACATCATGCTGCTGTTGCCCTGAAATGCAGCCCTGAGGCACAAATCCAGAGGTGGGTTCAGACTCTCTAAAGGGCCAGGTGGTAGATAGGATATTTTAGGTCTTATTTAGCTCATAGTCTCCATTTTGACTATATAGCTGTGACACATGAAATTAGCAGCCAGCCGGGCTCAGTGGCTCAGCCTGTAATCCCGCGCCTTTGGGAGGCTGAGGTGAGTGGATTGCCTGAGCCGCGGATTCGAGACCCGCCTGGGCAGCGAGACCTCATCTCTACAATAAATCAAAAAATCAGCCGGGCATGGTAGCGCATGCCTGTAATTCCGGCTACTCGGAAGCCTGAGGCAGAAGGATCGCCGGAGCCCAGCAGGTTGAGGCTGTGGTGGCCGGGAGCAGCCACTGCACTCCAGTCTGGGCGACAGAGTGAGACTCCAACTCAAAAAAAAAAAAAGAAAAGAAAAGAAATTAGCAGCCACAGACATTTGTGTCAAGCATGGCTGTGCTCGGTAAAACTTGATTTGGGGAACCTGACAGTGGAATTTGTATCTTTTTTTTTTTTTCCAGTCAGAGTCTTGCTTTGTCACACAGGCTAGAATTCAGTGGTACGATCATGGCTTCCACAGCCCTGATCTGGGCTCAGGCAATCTTTCTGCCTCAGCCTCTTGAGTAGCTGGAACTACAGGCATGCACCACCACACCTGGCTAATTTTTTTATTTATTGTAGAGATGAAGTCTTGCCAAGTTGCCCAGGTTGGTCTTGACCCCTGGGCTCAGGCAGGCCTCTCACCTCCATCTCCCAAAGTTCTGGGAGTTATAGGCATGAGCCCAGCAGTATCTTTTTTTTTTTTTTTGAGATGTTCCAATACAAGTAAATGTGGGATTAAAAGGAGGCGGAACCCTCCCACCCACACCTAGGGGGTCCTGGACGCCCTTCCTTTGCCCTCAGGAGGCTATGATTCTGAGCCTAGAGCTATTTCCAAGGGGTGGGATGGATGGGGTGTACATACCTGTGGGCCCCCCCACCACTCCTGACCGGGCCTGGTCCTGCGCTGCAGAGCCAAGGACGGGAGAGGGGTTAGACCCACGGCCAACCCAGGCCCTTGTTGACCAGCTGGGCATACACACCCACCACACACAGGCCAGATGGGCCGGCTCTGGGCTCCAGGGACCCCCCAGCTCTTCTTGCGGGACCAGGGAATGAAACTCACACCCAGACCATGAGCGGGACCCTCCTGCCCATGGAGATGCAGGCCCAGTAGTTCCAAAGCCCACAAGGGGCTTCCTTGAGAGCAACCCCTCAATGGCCAGGAGGCTGTCAGAGCAAACACAGCCTCTCCAAGGTGATGTGGGACTTTGCCGGGGTCAAGATTTGCACCTGTTCCATACTTTCTGGGACTGCCGGAGTCTGCAAGACTGCCTACCTTCCGAAGGGCTAAGGCCCCGAGTGCCCATGCCCTCTGGACCAGGGCCCCCACCCCATCCGCACAGCCCACCAGCCCAGGGCGTGGGAGAGGCTCGGGCATCAAGGGCTGGGGGTGACTATGGATCAACCGCCTGCTCTCTGAACACCCCTCAAGGGATGGAGGGCCTGGCTGCTGCACAAGGCAGCGGAGACCCCACAGTGGAGCAGGCCCTACTCACATTGGATCTGCTCGTGCACCACCAGTGCAAAGTGGTCCATCTCCAGGATGTGCGAGAGCCTGCCCAGAGTGTCTGTCAAGCGAATCTGGAAGAGAAACCGAGGCCAGTGCTCACTGCCAGAGCCAAAGGCTGCCCTGTACCCGTGCCCCCCGCCCCCCCACTGCCCCCAGACCCGTGAGGGAAAGGACTTAGGGAGACAGGAAAAACCTGGCATCATTTCAGAAGGGTCCTAATGTAGGAATCAGAGGGTGATGAGACACACACAGGCACTCATATGAGCTATCAAACCAGGAGAGGACACAGAGGAGTCTGAAACACACACTGCTGTGTGAAGGTGAAGTCCACACACTGTATGGCTCCAACCCTGTGACATCCTGTTCAAGGCCAAACTAGCTGGGTGTGGTGTCTTAAGCCTGTAATCCCAGCACTTTGGGAGGCCAAGGTAGAAGGACTACTTGAGCCTAGGAGTTCAAGACTCACTTGGGCAGCATAACAAGACCTCGTGTCTACAAAAAAAATCAAAAAAATAAGCTGGGTGCAGTGGTGTGTGCCTGTAGTTCCAGCTATTTAGGCCCAGGAGGTTGAGGCTGCAATGAGACATGATCGTGCCACTGCCCTCCAGCCTGGGTGACAGAGTGAGACCCAGCTCAAGAAATAATAATAAAAATAAATGCAAAACTAGCAAAGAGATGGGGGTTTCCAGGCCTTAGGGGAGGGGTGAGTGTGTGGGGCCCGGAGGGCTTTGAGGGTTGAATCTGTCTTTTTCTGGATGATCCTACAATGACTCCTACCTGAGAAGAACTCACACTTCTGAGGCCCGTGGGATGGACTCTTATCTGAGAAACCCTTTGAGGTCTGGACCTCTGCCCACCTGTAGCCTTCCTGCCCTGTTTCCTGGGGAAGCATTTCCAGGGCTGGACAAATCCTCCCGGAATGCAGTGAGGACAACTACTTATCAGACACAGGCCGGGCAAGCCCAGGCACGTTCCCACATCCCCACAGGCAGCCCTCTGGCCCACTTGGTGGGTGTCCTCTCTATTCTGACTTGGCAGTGGAGGGCGCCTCCATGAAAGGCCGTGAAAGGCCAGGTGGGAGGTGCTACCACTGCCTCACACTGTCACTAGCTGGGCAACGGTGCAATCTAGGGGATGCCAAAACCTAGGCAGGTGTGCAGTAGAGCAATCATAGTTCACTGCAGCCTCAACCTTCTGGGCTCAAGTGATCCTCCTGCCTCAACCTCTCAAGTAGCTGGGACTATAGGTGCACACCACCACGCCCAGCTAATTTAAAAAAAAAATTTTTGTAGACTCAGGGGTCTCACTATGTTGCCCAAGCTGGACTCAAACTCTTGGCCTCATCAGATTACAGCTGTGAGCCAGTGTGCTAGGCATCAGTGCCTATTTTTTTTGTCAGACACTGTACATGCCTAGAAGACCAAGGGGTCAAAGTTTTTGCTCTCCGACAAGAACCACCAGCAAGAAAGGCCGGGACCTGCACTATGCCTCACTGTCAGGCCAGATGTCTGGGACTAGGGACAGCAAGAAGGGCCAGCACCAGGCAGGGCCATGTGCCCGGGGGACAGGAGCCTCCCGAATTTTCTTTCAAGGTGCCCTGCCTTTTCCTGGGTGCCCTGCTCAAGGAAGGTGCCCGGAACACTGCACGACTTGGTGCCCGGAGCACTGCAGGATACACAGGAGGCCCCTGAGATAATCTGCTCTGCTCTGCTCCTGCTGGGCCCAGCATCTGTGTGATGTGACATGGAAGCCAGCATCAAGAGCCTGTGGGCCTTGGATGCATGCAGGCCAGAGCCCAGTGGGGCATGCCAACCTGGGGCTCAGCTAGGTTCTGAGTAAGGGCATCTGGAGGTGTGACTTGGCCTCTGAACAGAGCACATCCTTGGGCATGAGGCCAGTGGCCACCGACCACACAGAAACCAGCCTGGTCACCAGCGAGTGAGCAGGTCCCTCCCCAGTGGACTAACCCGGGGGGAGAGTCAACACCAAAGACCACAGAGACCACAGACTAGGACTCAGCCACGGGAAGGCACAGATGGGTGAGTGTGGCACATGGGAGGATCTTAAGATGGCCGTGTGACAGAGGCAGAAATGGCAAACATCCTGACACGTACACCCACACAACTCAGGAGGTTGCCAACAGCCAGCAGTCATAGCTGCCTGGGGGTGGGGGTGAGGCCCACAAAGGGCGAGGGAAGCCTTTGAGAGAGATGGATGTCACAGGTGTTGGCTTCATAGGTGGACATTAAACATATACTTCAGTAAGGAAGGGAAGGAAGGAAAGAAACTTCCAGAAGAACTGGTGTGCAGCAAGATGGGCTGAAGCCACCCCAGCTGCAGCCTGGCTGTCACCAACTCTCATGTGACACTGGGCACTCTGTCCTCACTCATGACTCCTGGGGCCCAGGATACACATGCCTGGGGCAGAATGAGCATAGAACCCAGAAGTCAGGACTACTGGACATCAGCACAGCCTCACAGAGCTGATACTCAGAGTGAGGCAGCAGTAAAGACTTCAAGAAGTACAAGACACACCCTGGCTGTGGTGGGCAGGGGAGGTGGGTGGTCCCGGAGACCGAGGCACGCTGAGACAGTGGGTACAAAGGTGAAAGGAACATGCCCGGGTGAGCGGCCCTGGAGTTTTCATCAAGTGAGCTGGGCTCAGCAGGGGGACAGTCCTATGTGTGTTTCCTGAGGAATCAGAGCAGACAAGGCCCTAATGGTGGCATGTGAAGAATGCATGGATGCCAGTGACATGTGGGGGCGTGGGAAAAGAGAAAGTCAGATTAATTCCTAGCCATGGGCCAAACCCTTTGGCCTTTCTAGTGTTAATGGCTAATGTCTTCCTGTCCCGTGCGCTGGGGGGGTCTGTGCAGAAAGTCAGGTGCTACTGGGGTCACCCTCTAGTAGCAGAGGGCGGGGTCTCAGGACAACCACAGGCCTGACCACCACAGGCTCTGACCTGCATGCTTCCAAGTCCCTGAGACTTCTGAACATTCTAGTTCTTTTTTCTGAGTCAGAGATTCACTCTGTCACCCAGGCACAATTGCAGTTCACAGCAGCCTCAACCTCTTAGGCTGAAGTAATTCTCCCGCCTCAGCTCCTGAGTAGCTGGGATTACAGGCATGCACAATCACACCCAGTTAGTTTTAAACATTTTTTTGTAGAGACAAGGTCTCACTATGTTACTCAGGCTGGCCTCGAACTCCTAGGCTCAAGCAATCCTTCGTCTTGACCCCCCAGAGTGCTGGGATTGCAGGAATGAGCCACCATGCTGGGCTACAAGTTCTACTGGATCACTGAGCACACAAGGCATTCTTAAATGAGTGCACCCCAGGAGAGAATGAGGGCTGAGCATTATGGGAATCAGCACACTGGCAGACAACCACTGCAGCCAAGATAATGGGGTGGGGGACCCCACACCCTCTGCCCTAGAAAGTGGAGCATGTACCTGTTTGAACTGCTTGTAGATGACTTTGCAGACTTGATCTGACGGCTGCACCTTCCCGGCGAGCAGGGATGACAGCATGTTCCCAAGCGTCACCATCCCCAGGATCACCCTAAAGGGAAGTAAGGGGGCAGGAGCCAGCATTTACACCACACCCCTCCTCACAATGGCAGAACCTGCCTGCAGCTGCCCCGGATCAGGGGTCTCTGGCCAAACGTGGAATTCCTCTTCTATCTCCATTATTATTTGCCGAATTCCTACACATGGCAGAAACACAGCAGGACCGAATGGGACACAGAGGGTAAACCAGCAAGTCTCAGGTATTTCCATCCTGCCAGTCCCAGGATGCGAGACCTTCAGTGCTAGACGTGGAACAGCTGGTGACCTGGGCATGTCTGCCACGGTCTTCCCTGTGAGATGTGTTCTCAGGGTGTCACCCTGCCTCCTGGGGTGGCCCAGGAGAGGCCTACAGACAGGAAGGGTGGTAGGATGGGTAGAGGCCTGAGGAATGCCCAGGGACGAGGCACCCATGAGGTAGCCCAGTGCTCTGGACACCTGCATGCAAAGTGGCCCAAGTGGGCCTATCGGCTGGGGGTGCACATGGCTGTCCCATCCAGCGACTCCAACACGGGGACATGTGGCACCGGCTCAAGGGGCCTGAGGGAGCCTGGAGGATGGAGCCCTGGACTGGGGGCATGAGGGACTGTGACGAACCCGAATTCATCCACCACGGGCGCCTGATCAAAGCCTTTCTCTCGAAGGATCTCAATGGTATGTTCACAAGTGACCGTAGGCAGCACTGTGAGTGGGGCCGATAGGCTCAGCTCCTGCACCCGGAGGTGCCACCACCTGGGGAAAAGGCAGGGCAGAGGTCAGGGTCAAGAACAATCTTTCACATCCCCAGCCGGGTGTGGGTGGCACAGGCATCTGAGGGTGCCAGCAACCTTACCTTGGCTTCTTCACTGTGAGGTGCTCCTCCTTCAGGAAGCCCTTCTGCAGCATCCATTTGTCACTCAGGAACTTGGACCTATGGGGATGGGGAAGTCACCGAGGCCCAACGAAGAGGCCCACTATGGCCTCTGCCCATGCTGGGGGCACACATTACATGCCATATCAGGGACATGGTTCTGAGAAGGCCCAGCCTCCCTCCCTGGACACCACTAGTCCAGTAGAGACCACACGTACTAGTCAGGTTCAGGGAGATTCCTGGGGGCCAGACTTCAGAAAGGCCCAGGGGGCCTGTGGGTCAGAGGGCATCGGTCAGCCAGGGTACGTGCACCTGGGGCTGAACAAGTGAGTGCAAAACCTGGGAGAAGTTTCTTTCCAGGAAGTCTGGGATGAAGTTCCCTCCGTGGGCTCCCCTGTGGCCTCCTCCGGGGCCCTCCCAGGGACTGCTCCAGCAGAGGGAGCCTGTTCCACCCAGAGCTGAAGCGGGGCTGCCAGGACCTGCCCCAGAAGGCAGGCCAGGACCAATGAGTGAAGTGGGGGCAGAGACGACCCCTGCAGCCAACACACATGCAAGCTGCAGGCACACGCAGTCACCATGCACTCTCGGTCAGCTCCCCTCACACACACCCTCCCATATTCGACACCTGCGACACCTGCGCCACACACACACACACA